AATAGTAAATTCTATAAAACGTGTCTTTCGAATTATTTTCTCTCTCGGATATTTTCAAGTAGAAAAGTAAAAGGAAATATATTCAATAGATTCTTTATTAAAAAAGACAAGATGTTGTTTTTTTTTATTATTAGATTAAATTCAACATTATCAAATGATAATCATTTATTTTTATTTTTACTTGGATTCTATCTTCAACTTGATAAACGTTTTCTCAACTTAGATATTATTCATATAGCACGACGTTTAATGGTCAATGCACTTACTTTATTAACACCAACATATTGGAATGAAAAGGTTAGTCATTATAAATATCACATATAAAACACAAAAAACTGCTTGAATTTTACAAGAGAAGATTCTCCAGTGTCCATAGACTAGAGTCTATTGAATTCAACACTTTCAGACTCGGTCGAACCGTACTTTGATACTCTCAATAGAATTTTGTAATCTTCATTGGGGAGTTACCTCGAAGATACAAGATACTTTTTACAAACACTTTCGACTGATACCGAGTACCATAATGATCATAGTTTGGGTGCATAGCTGTCTATCAGGAAATTGATTCTCGTTTCTTCAGCGTTCTATGAGAATAAGATTTACTACATGTCATTCGACGCACCTCAACTTACTCTACAATAGAGCACTACAGAATATGGATAACATGCCATGCACTGACAGGACAGGCTCATGCTGCAGATTACGGATGGCATAACCTGTTACCTTGTGACAGAAATATTGCTGTCGACATGTGCAGAGTATTCCGATTGTATGAAATAGTAGAGCGAGCAAATCGCGTGATTGATATCGACTGGGCATAAAATGATTTCAGAACTACGAAACTTACAGAGTAATAAACAGACCAATCTAACACGATAAAATTGTTGTGACCTATATTCAAAGCTGGAAAGTAAAATTACAACCAGTTAATCTATGTAATAGGGACCAAATCAAAGTGGTCAATGGCTCCCATAAAGAGATACTTGCATCGAAAAGTGCTTTTCGATCCAAAGTCCTTAATCCAGATCTAATTGTGTCCTAATATATATGTATGATCAGTTTGAATTCAATCCACAATCGAGAAATTTTACCGTATCTTGTTCATTTATGCTTGCTCTTCATCAATAGTGATAACATAAAAACTAGATTCTTTCGAAAAAAGACTTTGCGTTAGAGTATAAGAGAAGATTTTGGTAGTATGGGACAGGTTACAGATTGCAAAAATGTCATGTTCTGCAGTTCTTTACTCTACAACATAGCATGTTTGCTTTGTCAATTCTGAATAGGTCATGAAATCAGATCGAACCCTTTCTGATTTCGTTCCTATTTTAAATAGAAATTAATTAAAATATTTCTTTTAGCGTGATTTACTTGTTGAATGTCTATATACTTTATCATCAAAAAATGTTTATATTGTTGAATTATTCTTGAAAACCAATGAACGTACTGTTCGTATTCGTACACAACTTGCATTATTACATTTGAAACGATTAGTGAATATGATTGAGCATGAGAAAAAAAGTGAAGTAAGAAACACAAAAAAGAATATTTTTATTTCTTAAACATTTATTTTCTATTGAAAAGGCAATGATTATTGATGAAATAATTAAAGATAAACTGAATCCACGTTTATTTGAACGACAAATTGATTTTATTGATTGTGTAAGATTACTGGGAGATATTATTGATAGCTATCCATATAGTCAACAAATAGTAAAAAATTCTTGTTAATAGTTTTTATTTGATAAAAAAAAAAGGATAAATTTATTTTAGGAATATCTATCAAAACTTTATGATGAAATTCTTCCATATTCAAGAGCAGATCATGAAAAATTATTAACACATGAAGTAAAATATTAACTGTTTGATTTTAATTTAAATCAATATTCTTTCTTTTGCTTTGTTTTATCTAGCAACATTTGATTCTTTTTGATGATTGTCAACGATGGGCAACAATGCTTAGATCTTATTCAAATGAGGATGACTTCCAAAAACGTCTTAAACAAAAATAAACTTTACTTTTCTTTTATTATAAACATATAATGAATAGATAAGAAAATATCAAGTAATGATCATATTTCAGATATTAAAAAAAAAAAGATAAACCACGGCCGAACTATGAAAGGTCTGGTTGCATTAATCACTGGTGGTGCATCAGGCTTAGGTCTTGCTTGTGCCAAACGATTTACAAAACAAGGTGCACGTGTTATTATTTGTGATTTACCTACATCGAAAGGAAAAGAAATTGTTGCAAATTGGAATTCGATATCAAATACTTCAACTCAAGAACTTGATGAAAATGCTGATAAATTGGCTCCGTCAGAACATGTAATTTATTGTGCGAAAGTTTTAAAACAAAATATCCACTCATTTTTCAGTTACTTAAAGACAGCTGGTTAGAATACGAAGTAGTTAGTTCGAATAAAACTTTTTCATTCTGTTCGAATATGTGTGCAGAATTTCCTTCTGGGATAAGAAAAACGAATATGCCTGCCGTTCAGCATTGGATGCTGTCTAGTGGCAGATAAAGTATCCCGCTGCCTTTCCTGCAACTAATGCTAGCTGTAGTTCTGAGCAGAAGACCTGCTGATTCAAAGTTCTTGCACTCAATTAATTGAGTTTCTCATATATACTAACTAATCCCATACTAATATCCACGCCAGAATTAAAAACAATAGCGTGTAAGCTCAATAACTCGACAATGGCAACAGTTAACAACCTACGATTCTCAGAAATCGATACAGGATAGCTCCAAACGTCTTTTTGTCTAATATGATATAAGACATAATTATTTTAAAATCCATCATCTTTGCAAAATATTTAACGGTGATATGTTTCAATGAAATGTTGATAAAAAGTCAGAAAATTTACTAAAAACAACAGAGATCTGTAACATTTGACTGTATACATATGCGGTTTCGTTAGTTCTACAATAAGATACAAGAATGTGATCACCTGAATCATGTGTTGAACTGTAGGTCTGAGATCTATCTAGTACAAGTACAAGTAGAAGTCAAGATCAAAATTACACCGAAACGGAACACTATTTTCATGCATTTTTAAAAACTTTTGTTGTTGATGATGATGCGCGAGAACGCTAACTATTGCCGTAGTCAAGTTACGAAGATTACATTCTTTTCTCTTTAATCGTGGCGCAGGCACTAGAGTCACAAGATTAGGTGTATCTTATGATATAGTTAGCATGCCAACGGACCAATGATCCGTAACGAACAGCCATCAGTGAGTTGCCACGAATCATTTCATAGCTGATTCAATGTTATCCTCGAAGGGAAATATGAAAGTGTGTTTGAAAATAGTGAAAAATTCTGTTTCTGAATATAACTAGTTGTTTTTGAGTGTTCGAAAAATTAGCGAATATTTCATGCCATAGGTTATAATCTTTATCTAATAAATCTAAATTCATTTCGAATTCTTTCTACTATTTTTATTTTATTTAGTCACGTCAAGATGAACAGGCTGGTAAACTAAATTTTAACATAAATACAAAGGATGCTACATTGAATGCTTCATCACTAAATCAAAATATTCAAGTACAAGCACCAATATTCTTTCCGGCAGATGTTATCAATGAACAACAGATACAAGATATGTTTAGTAAAGTAAAACAACAATATAATCGCCTTGATGCTGTACTTAATTGTGCTGGTATTGGTGTTGCTTTTCGAACTTATAATATAAATAAAGTAAGAGTAAAGCAACATAAAGTTTTGATACGATTAAAAATTGAAATATTATAAAAGAGTTTCCATTATCAAGAAGAAGAATTTAAGAGGATTTGGGCCTTTCTGGACATAGATAGATCTCGATAAGTAGATAAAAAGTTGTCATAAACGCCAATTTTCCAGATGCTTCCTTCACTATTTGAGAAATTTTTTTTCCTTAAAAATTGTTTTGTGTTATATATCATTCGACGCAATTTAATGTGCTGATTCTGAAATTTTATTTCTTTCTATTTAGCGTTCAATGCATGGTCTTGAGGAATTTAAACGTGTTCTTTATGTAAATGCTGCAGGTACATTTAATGTTATACGTTGGGCTTGTCACGTTATGGCTGATAATCAACCTGATGCTCAAGGTCAACGTGGAGTTATTATTAATACAGCATCTGTTGCTGCTTATGAAGGTCAGATTGGACAAGTAGCATATGCGGCATCAAAAGGTGCAATTGTATCTATGACATTACCATTAGCACGAGATTTATCAAATATGGGTGTTCGAGTTTGTGCTATAGCACCTGGTGTTTTTCATACACCCATGCTTGCTTCTTTGCCTGCAAAAGTTCGAACATTATTGGGTAATATGGTTCCATTTCCACCGCGACTTGGAAATTCTGATGATTATGCTCATTTAGCACAAGCTATTATTGAAAATCCTTATCTTAATGGTGAAGTTATTCGATTGGATGGAGCACTCCGTATGCCACCTTAATGATTATTTGAATAGACGAAGAACTTAACCTTTTTTTGTGGTCTTTCCATTTGTTTAAGCAGTTTTCTCCGTTGAAAATTTCTGTTTTTTTTTGTATTGAAATTGAATGAAAAAAAAACGATGCCGGAAAAAATTTTAGTGAAAGAGCAATAAAACTAAAATTATAGATGCAGAAGCTTGTTACATAAATTACTGGTGGTTTATCAGGCATGGACCTTGCTTGTGTCGAGAGATTTGTACATAAGCTGCATGCGCATACTATCATATGTTATTTACCATCAGCATCTTCATCATCTATTCCTTGTTCGTCATTATTTCTACCAACTGATGCTACATCTGAATCAGATATAAAAAATGTTTTTGGTCATATTCAAAAAGATTTTAGTCACTTATATGTTTTTGTTAATTGTGCTGGTATTATCTTTTCTCAACAAATTGTTGGACATTCATTTGAAGATTTTAATTGTATAATTGATGTTAATACTTGTGGAACGTATAATATGATTCATCAGGTGATTCCATTGATGATAAATAATTGAATAATTATAAATATGTCATCTGTAGCTGCATTTGAAGGACGACGTGGACAAACAGGTTACGCAGCGTCACAAGGAGCTATTGCAGAAATGACTCGACCATTAGCAGAAGAATTAGCACTGATGAATATTCGTGTATGTGCTATTATTCCTGGTGCTTTCGATACACCTTTATTGCGTAGATTACGTATAAAAGTTCCTAATACACAGGGAAATTTTCCACTCTTTCCTGCTCGACTTGGTGACCCAGCTGAATTCGCACAACTTGTTCAAATAATTGTAGAAAACCCTTTATTGAATAGTATTAATATTCGACTTGATGCTCTTCTTCATATGCCACCTTAGTAATTATCTTATTGCTTCGCACATACAGTAAGGTGTAAAAGATTTTTCCTTCAATGTTTCAACTGTTTCTCACAGTGAATTCGGTGAACATGGAAATTAATCATATTCACAAATAAGGCATAAAACAAGATACAAAGCTATAAACACAACTAATATGAGATTCTCTTTTCCTAAGAATTAGTCAAAGCTAAACATCGTGATTTTATCAAATGACTTAGAATGACCAAATTCATTGTATAGCACTCCTCACGTAGAAATAGATTTGGTTCATCGAGACTTGATGTTTACAACTTCTGAATATGAGATTAGAGGATCGAGCAGAGATTCTCAATTAGATAAATGTCGAAAGTGTTTGAGAACTAACAGATTGCTTCAGATACTTCTTTAAATAAAAATGATTCCATTGTCCGTCATTTGTATATGGAATTCCTGTCTTGCTCAATTCCAAAGATATGCAAAACTCCGTTCTGGAATCACAGAGCAGGTGACCTTCTATGGTTTAAACCGAGTAATGACTGTCACTTTCTTCCTGAACGAATACCAGCTGACCAGAGTCGTGACACTTAAAGCACCCTATATCAGGATTCTTTTTCTGTCTTTCTGAATATTTCCTGGGAGGTTTTGCCAATGAATATTATTCAACTCTAATTTTCACCTTTGTGTTAAATTGACCCTCTCACACTCGCGTTTTTCAGCTTCTGCATGGTGCTAAGTGTATCCTCAATCAATCCGTTTGACTAAGTGCTGTATCTTACACAGTAATACGTGTTCACCTCGATCATCAAATGGTTTTATCTCAATATTTTCACTGTTGTCTCATTCTTTCATCGAATGAACACGCCGAAGACCTGATACTCAACAACAGTGATATTGCAAGGTCGATCATTACGGCATCTGTCCTAAACTGTACCATGTTTTGTTTTATCTAAGCGATATTGTATCTGATAGTCCAAAGTATGATCTCTATCAGATGAGTAATTCTGACAAGAGATCGATGATTACTTTTCCTGTACTGTAAAATAGTTTGTCGCTTCGCTTTTAGTGACATAGGATTTCATTGTCGACGCACTTACACTCAAAGCACGAATGTTCATAATGATTTGTACTTTGGATAGTTAGATATTTATCTTCTTTCATTTTTCTACAGAATTCTTAAAAAATCCATCGCAAAGCTTCCAGAAAAATTAATTATGCCAGGGCAAGAATTTTTGAATCTTATTGTATATTCATATTTTTGTTTGTTTTCTTCTAATTTGTAAAATAAATTGTTTAAAATTTTGCAATAACAATCGTGTAATAACGTAAAACTATTAATTGATTTGGTCACTAGTGAAATTAGTATATCAAAAATGTCTTGAATATATAGAGTAAAGATTAATTGATTTTCCTCTTTTTGCTTTTCTGTGTTTATTCGTGTATTTCATTTATTTTTTAACATATTATATATAGTGAGAAAGTATGAAATTCACTGCATCTTATAATATATTCACTTTGAAGAACGAATAAGACTTAAAACTTAAAAGATATATTCAGCAAAAAAAGGGAATGCTGCTTTTCTACAAAGTAGCGTGAACTTGACGGATTGGGTGTGGATATGGGTGGGTGTGAGGTGTGAGATGTGGGTGCGCATCTTTCTACTCTATGGACCCACACATCCCACACTCCACACCCGCACCCCACACCCACACCTCACCCCTGCTCAGCACTACGTCATACCGCTGAGCACAATGACGTCCTACCCAAAACTACCATATATAACGATTAATTTTAAAAAAATGGGTTTTTTATTATAGGGATCCAATGAGATCACGGGCCGAAAGTCCACAAGGAATTTCGACCCGGCCCGAAAAATCATCGAAAATTCCGTGAGCCGAAATTCATGTAACCCTATTCCATGGCGAAGTAATTAAATACATAGAAAGAAAAATGAACTATCAAAAACGTGAACACACAGCATCATGATGGAGAAAGCATTCATGGTATGCATCCATAATTATGAGCAACGGTGTGTTCCATTGCTACGTCATCAGCAACAATCAAATGTATTCTTAGCGAACCTGATCGGTTTTTAGAAGCAGAAAGGCACCTAGTGAATTCTATATCACGTCTCTTTTTGTAGGATTTTGCGATCATCTCGTTTTTTTATTGATACTCCTAGAAGAAATTGAACACTATACTGTTTCATATAAAAAAAGTTTGAAAACTGTAAGGAAAGTAACTGTCGAATAGCTTTGATCTGAGTTCGAGTGCGATATATCGTACCCGTGCATGACACTAATTCACAATTTGCATCTATTCAAGGTTTTATCGTTGCCACTAATCAGCATAATAAAAAAAGTTGAAGGTTGTTTTCTCTATGGAGAGTTAGAAAAGATTCAATTTCAAATTATTTCAAGTTTCTTTATCACCTGTGTTGATATGCATAACAAAATATCTTTTTTTTTCTGCTCTATAATCTTTTATGTCTTTCTGTTTTCTTCGTTTATCTATCAACATTTATATTCTTTCCATAATTGCATGTGTAAGTTTCTTGTTACTATTATTATCAACATTGTATCCATTTTGAACAGAAGAAATGAGTAGTGTTTATCGTAACACTAATATAACATATGGAATTTATGTATATTATGGTCAACCGTAATGATAAACCAATAAATTTCCTTTATTATGATCCAGATGTGAACGCGCATGGTCGAAAGAAGAATGCCATCTGTTTTTTTCGGCACAGCTTTTATGCTTCAAACTTTATTTTTTTGTTCAAGAAAAATATATTAGAAGACGCAGTGGATTTCCTACTTTCTCACTATATATAATATGTTAAAAAATAAACGAAGTATGCTAATAAAAAAAAGGACAAAAAAACATAGTAGAGAAACCAATTGACCTTCACTGCTCTATTGATCTTTATTCTAAATATAGTATTAATTATCATCATGACTTGATAACAGAAGAAAATGAAAAAAAATAAAGAATGAATACTCTAATTTGATTCAAAATAATCATTTGAGATTTATATATAATCAAGAATAGGTAAATTGGATGATAAGAATACATTGGCAAAATTTAAATTTATGTAAGTACACTTGATTAGCTTATTATTAGAAAAAAATTTTGTTTATGTGAAAACTTTCATATCGCAGTTTTTTATTATTTTTTTCAAATGTTGTTCCATCTGTTTTCTAGTTATTTTCTAGATTAACTAATAAATTGTACATATAATTAATTAACCGATCGATATGAAATAAATTTAAGTGTACATAGGAAACAAACGTTTCCTTCTACTTAGCTGAATTTCGAAAAATCACATTAAGAAAGCAATACATGCACTGTTGGATGATCATGTCTTGACGTTTTATTAATGTCTATTGAACTTGCTGTCCTCAAATATGAAAACGACAAAAAAAATAATAGGAGCAAATATTATTAAAAAACAACCATTAATTTATCGATTGTAAAAGAAAACGTAGGTTGAAGGAAAACAAATATTACATTGTGATAAGTTTTCTTTTGAGAATTTGTGCGCGTTATCAGCAAATAATCGAATCAAGTTGATTTAATAATTGTGAATAAATATGGCTACTTCTTCTACTTAACTCTTGAAGTTAATGGTTATTGAATATTCAATGGAGTTTTGAAGTTTACTAAACATGTCTGAGTGTAAATACATCAATGTAACACACCAACCATCTTTGTAGGATTGCATTTGCAATTATCACCATTACGATGACTAAAATCAAGAAATACGCGAGAGATCTCTAGTGAGCACTAATATAGCCGATAAACGTGCCAGAATCTGCAATGAGACCATTTTCTTTCTGTCTGATTCAGATGAATTTGTATTAAGAGAACTCAATGATGTCAAAACAAGAAATGCGACCTTCATTTTTAGTTTACGAGCACATGTCTTTATCGCTTTACCGTTTTTCTCTAGACTCGTATCTAGAATGAAGAATGCATCAGCTGTTTATTGTTATTGTTGAGTTTCTATTTTCGACTTTGTAGTCTACTGATATATTTTGTGCTCAATAAATTCTTTTTTTCTAATATTAGAACATTTAAATTATTCAAAACCATATACAAAAATTGTAAATTGGCATAAAGAAGAAATTAAAAAGCATCATTTATATTTTAAATTAATATCTATTAAAAGTGAATAAATTTAACTTCATCATATTTGTTTATGAGAGGCAAGAATTTCAAAATATTATACTCAATAAATTAACAAAAGAAATTTATTTAGTCATAGCACAAAGAGTTAATAATTCTTTAATTGACATATCAAAATGGTTTCTCATTTAATATTCTTATTCTAAGTTTATTCATTAAATTCATACTAGTCATATTATTTAAAGTATTTAGTGTATGTACCAAATTTCAAATATTTAGGGCATACCAAAAGTAAGGATGTTGACAATTTAATATCGTATAATAAGCTTTAAGAAATTTCACTCTATATATAGTCTGATAGGGAGAAAAATTCTCTATTTTTCTATGCTATTTGATCACACTTCAACTAATATCATATTAATAAAATTTCAATGAGATCTGTTTTTCTATCATATGTGATGATTGTACTAATTCGAGTGTATATTTTTTGAATAATTTTTGATAGAAACAAGATAGAGAGCTGCAGTTTTCACCGTTGGAAAGCGGAGATAAAGACACATCGAATTACGTATTATATATTTTCATAGACGCTATCTGATATTTCTTCAATCAAATTTCTGATTATGAAAAAAAACATCTTTTTTTAATCTCTTTACAGAAACTGTTAGAAAAGTCACTTAGAGCTTCGATTAGAACATCAATAACCCCTGAGTGATTAATTCAAAATATCTGAAATTTTTTCAGTTTTGTAGGTTTTCCATCGACGGTTTGAATACACACGTGGCAATCGAGAATTCGCTGTAAACACCTGATGGAGTAGGTTTGTTTTCAAAGAAGTCGATTAAAAACCTTTAAGAACCCATGTCCAAAAACCAATAATATAATTCGATTCATCTTCATTCCCTCTTTCTAACGGTGAAAATCGCAGCTCTCTATCTTGTTTCTATCAAAAGTTATTCAAAAAATAACCGTCACATATGATAGACAAACAGATCTTATTGAAATTTTATTATTATGATATTAGATGAAGTATGATCAAATAACATAGAAAAGTAGAGAATTTTTTTCTCCATCCGACTATATAGAGAGAAATTTTTTAGAGCTTATTATAAGGTATTAAATTGTCAACACCTTTACTTTTGGTATGCCCTAAGTAAATGAATACTTTAATGCAATAAATAATTAATATCTTTCATGTATCGGAAAAAATTCTCAGAGAAAATATTCATTCGTCGTCAAGTTTGTCGAAACAAAGGACATAAAGAGAAAACTTAGAGGCCTCAAAAATATTGGTTCGATCAGGTGAGAAAGCATTATTTTCATCTGCTAATGATGAAACAAGCTTGTGCAATTCATTACCCAAGCAGACAAGCATTTCTGACGACATCTTTACACAGTCTGATCGTGGCTTGTGTTTAAGCGTTCTCACACGTTTATTTAAAAAACATCAAAATCATCTATAATTATCATTAAAGACGCTTAAAAAATGCAACTTTTGCATGTGGAAAACATCCAAAAAATTTTCTCCCAATATTTTTAACGTTATATGACACATAAAAAATAGTACTTTTTATCTGTAAAACACATGAAAATTTTATACACTTTCTAGATTCAAAAATTGTTTTTCTGAACGGATCTGAAACTGAATAGATCGTTGAAACATGTATTTCATAAATTCCGATCTGTTTGTGTAATCCAACCTATAAATACATCGAAAGACCACACGCATATTTAAGATTATTAAATTTTTCGGCATTGCTACTGAGAATAGATGTTATATTCGTTTAAAACTGATATAAACAATTTTCTTTTGTCTCATTTAAGAAGAAACAAAAAGTATCCGCTCCTCATGAATTGTTACTATCGTAGCTAATATTTTGGGTGTATGCGTGCAACAATAAATCGTGATTGTAAGAACCAATTAGTGTTCCATCGGTTGACATGTACTGAAGTTATAATTCACACGTTTTCGTTTCCTTGTAGAAAACATATTCAGCAGAAATATGCATACAACATTTTTTTATTAGTCATTTTGCTATTCTGCAAGCTACGACTTTTTTTTTCTACAGCTCAACATATCTACTTTATTATCACCAAGATCCATGACGTATCGTCAAGATTATAGTAATTAGTACACCTTGAAATAGTAACCCATGCCTTAGTGTTAACTCGACTTCACCCAATACATCAGTTGTATTAAAGTGATTTCTAACGAGACTTAGACTAGAGATAGCTACGATGAAAATATTCGTGGCAATATGTTTGAGATCAGATGATCACAAGAAGATGATTATCTCTGAATCATACATCCAGCACATTGTAAATCGATAGAAAGTGAGTCGATGCTTGCGTTTAGTATTCATTGTCACCCACATACATCCAAAATATCAGCTCCATATGATAAAGAATAGTAAGTACATCATGAACGGTAGTTACTTTTGTCTGTGACTTTATATATTATGTTATAATCAATTATCTACAAGTTTATCATTCAATTTATTAATTCTCTAATAATCGTCTTTGTTGATGTTATAAAAACTATTTTTATCTTTAAATTTCGTCATTCTACATCCGCTTAACTCGAATCATAGAGATTCCTAATGGGACACTATTATTTGTGTAGTGAAAAAAAAATGATGTTCATGCCGCTTAAAATACTAATTAATTAATTTCTTACAACCACAATTCTATAAATTGACTCTTTTCTGTCAAATGAATAAAATATTTGTTTTATATTTGTTTTAAAAATTATATCAATGTCAAAAAAGTAATTACATAAAGTATTCTTTAGTCTTTTTCATTCAATCAATGTTTATTAAGCCTTAAATCAACTTACAGTCAAAGAGTAAAAACAAATTTCAGTAGTACCAACAATTACTTCGAAAAAAAAGATCTTCTTTCCATTAGTTCATATATATGTAAAACAATGAGAAAGAGAAAACGAACATATGATGATGAAATAATCAAGAAAAGCAACTGGCAGCGTAGGATGTAACGAAATATTTGGCGATCTTCTATTCACCTACTCGCAACCAACGCAGTAATACTAACAGAGAAAATCAAACATAAATAATAAGTTCTTTTTTATCTCAAAATGTTCAATAACATCAATTTGATGCTTATCAAACATTTTATTTTTATTTCTTATCTTCTGCTCACAAAAAGCCCGCCAACGTACGCATTTAGTGGAATCTAATCGATACAAAATTGTTGAAGTATTTAATCCGACACGGTGGTTTTTCCCTTATTTTTATGTCATCAATGCCAGATGTTTATTATTCTTTTTCCTATAAATATTAACAACAATCTTCTTCTCTTTTTAGTCACACACAATTTATTCGTATTGTAACATCAAAAAATAGCAATTATGAAATCCATCATTATATTTCATCTTTTAATCACCTTCACCGTTTATTTTCCTAGTAGTAAGTTTTAAACGCACAAGAGCAGAATGGAAAAAAAAATTGTCTTTCATTATAGTTTTTTCATACTCCAATCATAATGTTCGTTTATACAATTTACTTCGAACACCAGTAAGTATGAAGGACAATGCATTTGTATTACCAACACGAAGTAATAAAGACACGTTTACATCAGTTCTTAATCGACAATTGAATTCTATTGAAGATGAAGAAAATGTTCAAACGCGTAATAGTTGGGATTCAGGTGAAGATTATTATTTTCAATGGGCGAAGCAAAATCGTCGACCAGTTGAATATTTTACTGGACGAAAGCGAGAAACAGCTCAAGTGATAACACCAACACGTCGTCGGTATGATCATGATGGTCTATGGCGTAGTGGACTTGTTGGTTAAAAGGATGAAATAGACATGTTTTGGCAAGAAAGCAACATACAATATCTGTTCTTGATTTGTTTTCTTGTGATAAAGAAAAATTTAAGTTTTTAAATAAGAAACATTTTATATCAGAGCTATATATGTTCTTATTTTGTTAAGAGAATCTAATAAAATAAAATAATATAAATAAGAAATTATAAATCAATAATTTGATTTCTTTGCATGAAATCTATCCAATAAATCAAGGATACAATAATTACAAAATCAAGTTAACTGGATAATAAATCTTTATTTATAAGAGACAATATTTTCATTTTTTTTTAAATTCAAAAAGATTATTAATTCTAATGATTATGCATTAATCCAATTTATAATTCTCTAACTCATGAATCATTTCTGTTTTTACAAATTTCTAAACCATATGGAAGATTAATGCCCATATTTATCTTTCAAAGATGAGTCATTTTGCATCATCAATATTTATTATGCATATGTTTGACGATTTCACTAATCTCGCTTCTTTTTTAAGATAAGGTTTTCGACGCCTTGGGAAATGACCTTAAAATGTTTTATGAACATCATAGTTTTGATCATTTTCAATATAATTGTTTTTCTTTTATAATAACATTGACATTTGTCACACTTAAACAAGCTAGTCTATAAATATGACAAACTAAAAGATGTAAAAGAGACTAATACAGTAAAATCTCTTGCAGTGAACACTCTTCGATCTTCGTGAACGAATTTTTGCTAGTTTCACACCTCTCCTTTACGAAGACATGTTTTTGGTTCTGTCTGTATGCACTGATCTTGTCACTATGAACATTAGTAAAAAGTAGTACTTGAATAAATAATATGATTGCAGTTATGGAGGCGATTATCGAGAAATAAATCGGCTTTATGATGTTATTCCATGAAAGCACAAAAATATAAAGAATGGACGAACAGATATTATTATCTATTTGCACAGTTTCTCGATCGTTGTCTACCAGATACAGTATCTCGCAATGCTCTTTACTTAGGAAAAAAAATTAATTTAATCAATGATAAAAAATTTGGTTTATCTCATTATGGATTTAGAGATTAATTTTAAGTATTCATCAGTGTTGTTTGAAATATTCTTACAATAAAAAATTGAAAATATTACTGAGTATAATACTAATCTAAACAAAAAAAGTGAATCATGATTTTTGTTTAAAATGTTACATGTCAAAAACTATTTCATAAAATAATAAAAAGTACTTAAAACGAGGAAGAGGGTGACAAAACTAATGTTTTGATTTATATTTGCTTGACCTCATCCTTTATGAACGTCTTGCTATATTGAACGATTTTCTTTTTTGCTGTCTCAACGACGTTCACAATGTAGAAGTTTCAGTGTAAATCTATGTCTCTTACTAAAGAGATCATCGTTTAAATGAAAACTATAGTGACTAGAAAACAATTGATATATTTTTTTTTTATTAAAGCGATAAGTTATTAATTAGGCTTACTAAAAAAATAGAGAGACAAATATTTTTCTTTTATTATTTCTTATGTCGGAAAAAAAAGAAATTCAAACTCCTAAAATTAATAGTTTTGTTGAATATACTTGCTTTTCAAAGGACACAATTTTCACAATCAGAAGATATGATAAATAATTTATTCGAAGAATAAAATTTTTCATACTAATTGTATGCATGCTTTCCTTGTTTTTTTTTTCTCTGCCAGACTCAAGGTAACACGGATTTTATTAAATAACTGAGAGACAATATTTAAAAAATTATTGATGATAATGAAAATTTATATTTTTATTATTAGTTGTTTCGATTAGAAATAACAAGTTCAATTTTGCTTCAAAGTGTTATTTTACTCAATCGAAAAAACAGAAAAGTTAAACATTGATCTCTTTTGTCATTCTTTTACTCTTTTCTACACACTTAAGTCTAGCGGGTGATTGGAAAGTTTTTAGACAAATTGTCTGTTCATTTTTTATCCACTATAAAGTTCCAAACGTTACGAGTTAGAATGCTCTTTTCGAATAAGGACTTAGAAAATTCTTCTCAAGTTTTGCTCGAGAGCGGTGAAATAATCTTTGAAAAGCCCAAAACATTAGTTTGGACGGAACTTGAGGAGTTACGCTTCTAGGTAACATGTTTTTTCATTGTGGCTCGCTCAAAAGCATTTTAGACAAACAAAAAACTCTAAGTCATGATCAGAATTTTAATCTGACCATAGAAATCTTCTGTCTATTTTTGTTCAGGAATGTTGAAGAACTTTTTGAAACACCTGAAAAATTATTTTTAATAGTGAGCCAATAGATATTCGTTTTACTCTATAAGTTTATTTTTGAACACGCTAAAAATTGTTAGAATTGATTGTTATGTAGAACAAATACTTCTCTACGATATGTGATACGAAAGTAAGCTGGAGATTTTACTCCAGCAGTTTTTCAAGAAATCCTTTTAACGTAAAATGAACGTTGATTTTTCAAAAATGAGTATTTAGAAAAAAACGAAAATTGAGGTGCCCAGTCCCAAGACAAAAAATAATTTCAAATAATGCATTTTGTGGCGTAACTTTTGATCTACAAGCTAATATATAAATAAAGATCCCAACTTTTAGTTTCTCGAAAAAAACTGAGGCAAATAATCTAAGCCCATATTTGAAAAGAGTACGAAATTGTGATCTCATTTGATTCGAGTATTCAAAAAAGTTTGAATGTAACAAGAACTAAATTACAGCAACAAATCTGTGATAAATTCTACCGATAAAAAATTGATAATATATAATTTTGCTGATCTGCTATTGTTATATCTGTATGAATTTATTAATTTATTTTTCATTTATTTGTGAAACACCAAAGTGTCAATATTTTATTTAGCAACAGAAATTCATTTATTGTTAATTAAAAAAATGAATTAAACATTATGTAATAGTATAAATGGTCGTAGGAGAATAGTTGTTTCGACATATTTACTATTATTTATGATTGAAGTTATTCGTCTCCATGTTTCACTTAATTTATATTATTATATTTTTAGTTTTACATGTTGAGTTTTATTTTGAATGTTATATTCGTTCTATTTACTTTCAATATACATTGCTAATCTATTCGGTACACTTTTTTTGTTATTTCTTTTCGTCAGTTTGCTGATGCTTTTAATCTTAATATGACATCTATGCTATTACTTTCTTGCAGATTAGTATTCTATATTCTATTTATTGAAGTCTTTTTCAATGACTTCAAAATCAGATGGTTTTCTCAAGTTAAATCAATAAAAGCAAAAAATTAGAAACTAAGATATAATTAAATTCTAATTTATTTCCTTTAATCCTTACAAGCCCAATGTATCTTCCAAGAAACATTCTTTATCTCTATAAGGAAAAAAGTCTATCCTTTTTGTAACTATGATATGATCATACTGAATGTCCAGAATATAACCCGTTAGCTACCCAATTTTCGGACCCGCTTTATTCAACGTTTTTGGAACCCCGACTGGCTTGATCAAACTTTTTCATATTCGATTGAGCCGTATTTTCATATTTTTGATGACGTTTTCTTGTCAGAATAGGATAGCCGCCCTGAAGATATGAGACACTTTTTTGTTTCGTTTTTTTTTGTATTCGGTAATTAGTGCACTTTGTACATTCCTCAGACGAGGCATCTAAGAATGTGTTAGATAAAGTTCATCGGGTCCAAATTTTTCGAACCTGAATCCATCTGATGGGTTCTAATTCAGAATCAATATTTTAGTGATCTGTCTTTTCTTATTGTCAGAAAAAACGGTCCTCGGCTTTTAAAGATTTAGATACCATTGATGTCTATGGCATCAAACACAAGTAATCGATTACTATTTTTTTATAATTAGATAGATTCTACTGTTTCTTTTATTATTATATGTATGAAAGAAAAAAAAGTAGTAAAATACAAAGTTTGTTAAACAAAAAAAAAGGAACCATTGTTTTATGTCTAAGGTAAGACAATACGTTGTACAATACCAACAGAACCTGGTGATGGTGCACCTAAATCATCAAATATTGTAAGTAAATTATTTGTCGGCATAAGCCAATCTGATGGAATATGATAGTAACGTTGAGTTGGTTCTAAACAATTAATTTGTGCTTGTTGACAACAACATGGTGTTGAATCACGACAAACTCCTTGTAATAACCAATAAAGACCAAGATCATTTCCATTAATAAATGCATGACCACGATTAAGACCGTGAGCATCAAGTAAAATAGGATTAGCATTTAGATCTTCTAGTATAATATGATCAAGATCAAATCTTGCTTGAAACCATGTTATTGGTTTACTAATACCTTTTCTCCATTGCGTATTCCACTCAACTTTCGATGACCCTTGTTCTGTATAAATTTGAAAATATTCTCCAACTAAACCTTTTTGATGTTCCCAAAGATTTGTTTCATCATTTACTAATAATTGATCATTAAGCCATACGTTTCCAACAATACCTTTGTATTCAAAATTATTTTCCCATATGCCATTATCAATACCAAGTGAAATAGAAAGAATTTCAAACAAATATTGTTGATTTGGTTTAAATGTTGAAAGATCTAATGATATTGTTGCTGTTAATGAACCTTGACTATGATCATGATTATCAAATTCACCTAAATATTTTCCATTTAAAAAGAATAATAATGCATTTGCTTTACGTGTTTCTACTCGAACTAATGTATGTGCTTGTGTCTGTGTTAATGTTACGTTACGACGATACCATAAATAAATTGTTTCATCATTTGTTACTTTAAGTTGTTCTATAGGATTTATTGAAGTAAGAACAGGTAAATTTGATGTAACTGGCTCTGACCATGTTTGCCATTCAAGTGGAGCAAAAACAATAGGAAGAATTTCAGTATTAAAACTTTGAATATCACTTACATTAGCACTATCCCATAATACATTTAAATTATCATCAAATATACGTACAGAATGACCAGTCATAGAAATATTTGTATTACGAAAAAGTACACCTAATGTATTATCATTTTGATTACTAATAAAATGAACT